TAATCTTGACTATAGAATGATCTATAAAGATAAATCAATAATCTTGACTATAGGCAAGTCTGTAATCTTGATTATTGACTGATCTATAGTCAAGATTGTTAATTGATCTAAAGACTGATCTATAGTATTGATTTTAGTAGTAGACCTAGTATTGTAGTATTGACTATAGGCTGATCTATAGTCTTGACTATAGACTGATCTATAGTCTTAACTATAGACAGATCTATAGTCTTAACTATAGACTGATCTACAGTAGACCTAGTTTTGTAGTATTGACTATAGGCTGATCTATAGTCTTGACTATAGACTGATCTATAGTCTTGTCTATAGATAGATCTATAGTCTTAACTATAGACTGATCTACAGTTTTGACTATAGACTTATGTACAGTCTTGTATATAGATATAGTCTTGACTATGGACTGATATATAGATTGATCGATATCCTAACTATAGACTCATGTATAGCTATGTATTTGACTATAGACCTATAGAATGATTTGTAGTCTTGGCTATAGACTGGTTTATGGTCTTCACTATAGACTGAACAATAGTCCTGACTATAGTTTTGTCTACAGACTGATCTATAGTATTGACTATGTATGTACTGATCTATATTAATGACTATATACTGATCTACAGTAATGACTATAGACTGATCTAAAGTAATGACTATAGACTGAACTAGTCTTGACTACAGACTGATTATAGACTGATCTATAGTGTTGCTTATAGACTGGTCTATACATAGATAGTCTTGTCTATAGACAGATCTATAGTCTTGAATATAGAAAGATCTATAGTCTTGACTATAGACAGATCTATAGTCTTGAATATAGACAGATCTATAGTCTTGAATATAGACAGATCTATAGTCTTGAATATAGACAGATCTATAGTCTTGACTATAGACAGATCTATAGACTTGATTAAAGACAGATCTATAGTCTTGACTATAGACAGATCTATAGTCTTGACTATAGACTGTTCTATAGTCTTGACTATAGACAGATCTATAGTCTTGACTATAGACAGATCTATAGTCTTGACTATAGACAGATCTATAGTCTTGACTATAGACTGATCTATAGTCTTGACTATAGACAGATCTATAGTCTTGACTATAGACAGATCTATAATCTTGACTATAGACTGATCTATAGTCTTGACTATAGACTGATCTATAGTCTTGACTATAGACTGATCAATAGTCTTGACTATAGATTGATCAATAGTCTTGACTATAGACTGATCTATAGTCTTGATTATATACAGATCTACAGTTTTGAATAAAGACTGATCTATAGTTTGGACTATAGACTGATCTATAGTCTTGACTATAGACTGATCTATAGTCTTGACTATAGACTGATCAATAGTCTTGACTACAAACTGATCAATAGTCTTGACTACAAACTGATCTATAGTATTGACTATAGACTGATCTATATTCATTACTATATACTGATCTATAGTCTGTACTATAAACTGATCTATAGTCTAGACTATAAACAAGATTATAGACCTGTCTCAAAGGATATGTGTTTTTCCAAAGTTACCAACAAATGTATCTTCAAATTTCTAATTTTACATTCAAATAAACCACAATTACAAGTTATTCGTCTACATAAATGAAAATATTAATAGTTCTAAAAACTCTTTAATGTATTAATAGATATTTCTAAAAACCACAAGGTATTTTAAAAAGTATTCTTAACTTCCCTAGAAATTTTGTTTAACAACTAAAAATTTGATTATCTAAATGTTACATATTTTTGTATTATTTTTGCATAGACCACAAAAATCGAGAAAATTTAAAGGATTTAAATACATGTAGATTTTCCTCCGTTTTTCCTTTTTTCATAAAACAAACAAGTTCCTTTAATCAGGAAAACCATAAGAGTTTTTTTAGGCTTACGGTCATAACTTGACTTGGTTTCTATGTGTCATTAAAAACACCTGAATGTTGTTTGTTGTAGGTACAATTGTACTTGCAACATACATTCAACACTTTCTTAACAAGATGCAACTTTTTACAAAAAAGCATGAAATCACAGACATATACGAGGGCAGTTGGTAAAGGATGTTATAAAAATATAAAGCGGTTTCTAATATCTTATATCTGTTGTATAAAATAAAGCCTTTTATATCCGCCTTCGTTTAATCATTGTTTTCTAAACTACAACTAATAGTCCTACTCGTACAACACCACAGTTCCAAGAGATGGAACTGTAACAGTTGTGTGTTTTTTTGGCCACTTAAGCACATGTTTTCCACACAATAATTGTCTGACACACAATCTCGCTCTTGTACAATAACTTAAAACGGAAGGAAGCCTTTCGGTTTTAAATGTATAAGAATGTAACTGTATCTTCAAGTACTCTTCAGGTATTATTCCAGCAGTTCGAGGCAACCATTTCAAAAGATATATTTTCTAAAAAGGGGTTTCATTTGTTATAGAACTGCTGGTTTGTTGTTTGTTTAATTTAACTTTACACATTGTTAACTTTTGTGTGTATTTGTTCACATACATGTATTAATCTTGTTTCTAACAATGTTCACATGTAAGTATGTAAGTGTGTTTAAAATGGCCAAAGGATATGTTTTGATTATACTTTGAACATAAAATTTAGGTAAAGGAAATAAACAACAACAAGTTGAAAATAAAACAACACAAAAATGTTACAATAAGTTTTCTAGTCTTGTTGTTGCTTATTTAGAATAATTGGAAAGATTTTCTTTCAATTATGTTGGTTTGTTTATATTGGGGACAATGTGTGTAAACATATTGTTTAAATATAAAATATTTTTTTTAATAAAAAATTAAAATTAATGAAAATAAATATAAAATTGAAATATTAAATTTTGGAAAAATAACATTTGATCCCTGCTGACGAGTGTTTCGCTCACTCTAAAATTTGTTCATTGGTCTTTAAACTTTTGAAAGACAGATCTATAGTCTTGACTATGTACAGATCAATAGTCTTGTCTATACAATGATCTAAAATCTGAACCATAAACTATATCTGTAGACTTGACTATAGAGTGATCTATAGTCTGCCCGAAAGACTGATCAAAGTTTGGAATATAAACTAATTTATCGTCTGATCTCAAGTCTGAACTATAAACTAAGATAATATAGTTTTGGTTAAAAACTGATCTTGACTAAAGATTGATCTATAGACTTGACTAAAGAGTGATCTATAGTTTTGACTATGAAATGATTCTTGACTATAGAATGATTTATATTATTGACTACAGAATGATCTATAGTCCTGAATATAGAATGATGTATAATATTGAATCTATAGACTAATGTATAGTGTTGACGATAGAATGATCTATAGTCTTGACTATAGAGTGATGTATAGACTGGATTATAGAATGATCTAAAGTCTTGATTATCTAATGATCTTTAGTCTTGATTGTAGAATGATCTATAGTCTTGTTTATAGAATGATCTATAGCCTTGACTATGGAATGATCTATAGTCTTGATTATAGAATGATCTATAGTCTTGAATATAGAATGATCTATAATTTTGACAATAGAATGCTCTATTGTCTAGGCTATAGAATGATAATAGTCTTGACCATAGAATGATTAATAGTCTTGATTATAGAATGATCTATAGTGTTGACTATAGAATGATCTATAGTCTTGCATATAGAATGATCTATAGTCTTGAATATAGAATAATTTGTTAGTCTTAACTATAGACTGATCTATAGTCTTGATATATAATGATCTATAGTGTTGACTATAGAATGATCTATAGTCTTGCATATAGAATAATTTGTTAGTCTTAACTATAGACTGATCTATAGTCTTGATATATAATGATCTATAGTGTTGACTATAGAATGATCTATAGTCTTGCATATAGAATGATCTATAGTCTTGAATATAGAATAATTTGTTAGTCTTAACTATAGACTGATCTATAGTCTTGATATATAATGATCTATAATATTGACTATAGAATGATCTATTGTCTTAATTAAAGAATGACCTATAGTCTTGACTATAGAGTGATCTATAGTATTGATTATAGAATGATCTATAGTCTTAACTATAGAATGATCTAGAGTCTATAGTATTGATAATAGAATGATCTAAAGTATTGGCTATGGAATGATCTGTAGTCTTGCATATAGAATGATCTATAGTCTTGAATATAGAATAATTTGTTAGTCTTGACTATAGAGTGATCTATATAGTCTTGAAATATAATGATTATATAATGATCTATAGTGTTAACTGTAGAATGATGTATAGTCTGAACTATGGACTGATCTTTAGTCTTGAAGATATAATGATCTATAGTATTGGCTATAAAATGATCTATAGTCTTAACTATAGAATGATCTATAGTCTATATTCTTGATAATAGAATGCTCTATAGTCTAGACTATAGACTGACATGTATTCTACACTATAGAATGATAACAGTCTAGACTATATAGAATGATCAATAGTCTTAACTATAGAATGATCTATAGTCTTGATTATAGAATGATATATATTCTTGACTATAGATAATGCTTTATAGTCCAGACTATAGACCGATATGTATTCTGCACTATAGAATGATAATAGTCTAGACTATAGAATGATCAATAGTCTTGTCTATAGAATGGATCTATAGTATTGACGATAGAATGGTCTGTATAGAATGATTTATAGTCTTGACCATAGAATGATTACAGAATGATCTATAAACTTGTCTATAGCCTAGTCTATAGACTGATCTATTGTCTGAACTGTAGACTGATATATATTATGGACCATAGACTGATCGAAAGTCTGGACTATTGGCTGATCTTTAATCTGGTCTATAGACCTTTTGATCTTTAGTATCGATCAAATACTGATTTCTACACTGGAGTTGAGATGGTTTTTACTATACACTGAAGTATAGTCTGGTGTGAAAACTGGTTTTTACACTGGAGTTAAGATGATCTTCAATAAGTTTTAAATAGATTATATAACAGTACTTACCTATTTTTAATAATTCTGGTTACAAAATTGTATTTATTAATTAAAAGTCTGAAAAAAAACGAAAAAAAAGGTAAATTAGATTTTTATAGAATTAAAGGCTATAGTTATAAAACTAAAGCAAAATTTGTTTAAATCAGATCAAGAATACTGCAAGATATCAAATACTTCCGGTTTCAAAACAAGTTAAATGGTTTAATGAACTTTTTGTCTTAAGTAAAACTTTCAATTTAGTGAAATAAGAATTGAAAAACCAGTTAAACATTACGTTTTATACTAAATCAGTAATTTTCTTTAAAATTTTTTACGTTTGTTACAAATAAGTCGCGTGTAAGTGATTAAAATTTTTAATTTTTTTTTTAAACTAAAATTTTGTTTGTGTTTTTTGTTAAACAAAATTTTAAGGTAAATCAAATTGATTAGCAGTTTTTTTGTTTTTATATTTGCTCCAGTATATATTACATAAATCCGGCTGTTGGGAGTCCGAATCTCCATAAGGAAGACAAAATCACCAATAAATTAATTGACAATATTGAAAAGCCATATAAATTTAAATAAATATTTGAACAACATTAAGAAAAGAAAACAATAATGACATGATGTAATTAAATGTTTTTGCACATGTCCATATGGAGTTTTTTTGGGGGAATTTTTACAAATTGCAAGTTTCCTTTCTAATGTTTTTTTTTTTTTGCTGATTTTCTCAAAATTTCATTCATCATGTTGTTTAATCTTTAGTTAAATAAATAAAGGTTTGTTATCTTTGAGTTTAATACTCATAGTCTTATAACAAATCTTTAGTATTATTATTTGGTTGATAATAATGAATGAATAAAAATGGTTCTCCAAACAAAATAATTCATTTGGGTCTTTGGCTATTATAAGATTACATTTTTGAATATTTTAGATAATGCAAAAAAAAAGGAATTGTCATTAAAATATGTCTAATTTAATTAGGTTGTTTTATTAATTTCAGAAAAGTTTTTTTTGACAAACATATTTTTCCAACAATCAAAAGGTTCTATAAATTTTCTTACCACCAACTATATCGTTGTCTTAATATTTTTTTTATTTTGTAGACATTTTATTAATAACATTTATTTGTTATATTTATAACTGCTGTTGTTTAGTAAACATTTTTTTTAAATAATTATTTACACTAATTGCACATTTGTACTTAAACTCTTTGGTACTCTAGTAAGAGTAATGATATCATTACTCTGAATGAGAGGGAGAGTGTAAATGAATGAAATTGATATTGAATATTTGAGTACATATATATATGTAATAAATATCTCATTTAAACCCTACAGTTTTGATAGGGTTAGAAGAACTCTTTTTCTTAAAAAACACTTTTTTGCTATTTATTTATAATTTTGGATTTGGAGTTAAAAATTAGTTCAGTCTGGACTATACAACGATCCATAATATTTTCTATAAACAAAGTTCTGTTAGACTATAGACACATCAATAGCTTCGTCTATAGACTGATCTGTAAGCTGATCTATAAACTTAAATAAATGAATGACTGATCTAGTCTATTACTAAACATTAATTGTAGTATTGACCATATTCTGGACTATATACTGATCTATAGTCTGGACTATGTACTGATCTACAGCCTGAGACCAGTCTATAGTCTTGACTATAGATTGGTTTATAGTCTTGACTATAGATTGGTCTATAGTCTTGACTATAGATTGGTCTATAGTCTTGACTATAGATTGGTCTATAGTCTTGACTATAGATTGGTCTATAGTCTTGACTATAGATTGGTGTATAGTCTTGACTATAGATTGGTTTATAGTCTTGACTATAGATTGGTCTATAGTCTTGACTATAGATTGGTCTATAGTCTTGACTATACATTGGTCTATAGTCTTGACTATAGATTGATCTATAGTCTTGACTATAGATTGGTCTATAGTCTTGACTATATTCTGATCTATAGTCTTGCCTATAAAGTGATTTATTGTCTTGATTAAAGACTGATTTATAGTATTGACTGATCAATAGACTGGACTATAGACTGATCTATAGTCTTGACTATAGACTGATCTATAATCTTGACTATAGACTTATCTATAGTGTTGACTATAGACAGCTCTATAGTCTTGACTATAGACTGATCTATAGTCTTGACTATAGACTGATCTATAGACTTGACTATAGACTGGTCTATATTCTTGACTATAGACTTATCTATAGTATTGACTATACACTGATCTATAGTCTTGACTATAAAGTGATCTATAGTCTTGGCTATAGACGGATATATAGTCTTGTCTATAGACTGATCTATAGTTTTGACTATATATGACCTATAGTCTTGACTATAGAATGACCTATATATAGTCTTAACTTAGACTGATCAATAATCTTGAATATATGTTCTAAAGTCTTGACTATAGACGGAACTTCACAGGTCTATAATCTTGAATATAGGCTGGTTCATAATCTTGACCATAGACTGATCTATAGTCTTGACTATAGACTGTTCTATAGACTGTTCAATAGTCTGGCCTATAGACTGATCTATAGTCTTCACTATAGACTGATCTATAGTCTTCACTATAGACTGATCTATAGTCTGGACTATAATCTGATCTATAGTCTTGACCATAGTCTGATCTATAATCTTAAATATAGACTAGTCCTGACTATAGACTGAACTATAGTTTTGAATGATCTATAGTCTTGACTATATACTGTTCAATAGTCTTGACTATAGACTGATCTATAGTCTGGACTATAAACTGATCTATAGTCTTGACCATAGACTGATCTATAATCTTGAATATAGACTAATCCTGACTATAGGCTGAACTATAGTCTTGACTGTGGACTATATATAGTCTTGATAATATACTGATCTATAGTTTTGACGATTGAGTCTTGACAATAAATTGACCTATAGTCTTGACTATAAACAGATCTACAGTCTATAATAATGACACATCTATCTTCTTGACTATAGACTGCATTTAGTAAAGACTGCTTTATAATCGGAATTATAGGCTGATCAGTAGAAAATTATGGCCACCAGTTAACCACATGTAGATGAGATCATTAAGAGAACTGCTTGAAATATTGATATTTTTGATATTATTACTTTGTTGTTATTAATAAATATATAATTTCTTTATTTGTTGTTAATTTTTATTTAACTACATACAACTGAGTATTGACGCTCGCACTTCCCGTTTTTGTTTGTGTAAATATTCATACTCAAATACATTTTTGTTTTAGTCTGTGTTTACTCCCGATCATTATACCCTACAAGCAAAAAGTAATGGTCCTACGTTTTGTTTTAACAGATAGCTATACCTTGGAATACGTTCACTAATTTCCTTCGGAAGCAATTCATACCTGGGGTGTCCTACTCTGAGGGCTTCTGGAAACATATCTGGTCAGTTTAAAAGGTTTATTAAATCGAATCAAAAGTTTATTTAACGTCTGTATTATACTTAGCTGCAGTAGGGTCTTAAATGGCTAACCATGATTAACTGTACATTCTTAATTGTTTTATAAATGAACTTGATGATTATACAGTGTTTTTAAGTGTAGAATTTTATTTGTTATTTCGTTTTTTTTTTAGAGATAAATTTTTGACTAGATTATAATATTTGGAAAATCCCACCGAAAAAAAAAGAAGGTGAGAGAATAAGAGTAAACATAGAAAAACAAAAAACAACGACAAAATATTATATCAATAAAATTTATGATAATCATGCACATAGAATTAGAATTGCAGGCGTCAGAAGGGTGAGAAAGTGGTAGAAAAACAAAAACATATTTTTTATTTCGGGCAAATAATTGTTTCTTGAACTCTTTTTTATTATGAGAAACGAACGTCATTGTTTTAAATACCCTATAATCGGTGATATTGAAAAGACAATTGTTATAAGAAACAGATTATATGAAAATTGGATTCCGCCTAGTTTTTTCCCACATAAAGAAACTTTTTGAGTTCGATAAAGTTTCGTTATCCTGTCAATGTTCAATTTCAAAAGGATAATTGTTGAATTTATTAGAAATTGTTCCTGTTAGGGTTTAAATACATCACTCTTAACTTATTTTTTTCTTTTCAAAATCTTTATCAATTTATTTGTATTTCACTTTGCCAAACCCACTGTATTTTTATTTATAATTATTTGTTTTCTGTTATTTTATTCACTCTGTCATTAGACAGTGTTATCAATATGCTCTGTTGGGTTTGCTACCACTACCAACAAAAACAAACATTCACAAAAATTTCAAAAAAATAAAAAAAAAAATCGCAAAATAAAATTATATTTTTCATACAGTAGAGATACACGCACATTAATAAACACATAAAGGTACAGTAGGGTGGTAGTTTTCTTTTTTTTTGAACATTATCGAAATTTATTTTTGAGAAATTTGATCTATAGTCTTGATTATAGAATGATCTATAGACTGATCTATAGTCTTTACTACAGACTGATCTATAGTCCTTTCTACAGACTGATCTGTAGTCTTGACTATAGTCTGATCTATAGTCTTGACTATAGACTAATCTATAGTCTTAACTATAGACTGATCTATAGTCTTGACTAAAGACTGATCGTATAGTCAAGACTATAGATCGTAGTCAAGACTTCAGATCAGTCTATAGATCAGTCTTTAATCAAGACTATAGATCAGTCTATAGTCAAGACTATAGATTAGTCTTATAGTCAAGACTACAGATCAGTCTATAGTCAAGACTATAGATCAGACTATAGTCAAGACTACTGATCTTTAGTCTTGACTATAGACTGATCTATTATAGTATTGACTAAAGACTGATCTATAGACTTGACTATAGACCGATCTAAAGTCTTGACTAAAGACTGATCTATAGTATTGACTATAGACTGTTCTATAGTCAAGACTATAGACTGACTGTTCTATAGTCAAGGACTATAGACTGAAATATAGTCAAGACTATAGACTGATCTATAGTCAAGAATATAGATATTGCCTATAGACTGATCTATAGTCTTGACTATAGACTGATCTATAGCATTGACTATAGACTGATCTATAGCAT